TCAGCAGAGTGGACAGGGCGTAGAAACAACCTGTGTTCAGACCTGAGAGGGGGATAAAAATGCAGCACATTCAGAGCCTGCTATTTTCCTGCTGGGTAGTGAAAGCAGAATTGGAGAGAGAGAGATCTTGTGGAGCAGCAATCCATAACAAGGCTAAGGAGTTTCAGGAGAGTCATCCAGACTGGCTAGATACAGGTTACTGAAAGCAAGGCAGACCAAGCACAGCCAGATCTCAGCATGCCAGAGGAAGCACCCTGCAGTTTCAGGGTAGTTCTTGTCCTAGAACCTAGAGGAAAGGCTGTGCACATCTCTAGTCCTGCAAGGTCTTGCATGTCCTTCATAGGGTCTTAACCCTTCGACACAGCCAGATCCATTTTTAGCATTAGACTTTTCTCCTCCCTTCAAGCCAAGGTATAATACTAGAAAAGCACCTGTCTCAGCATCACATCTTTAAGAAGGACCTGGGATTCAATTAACACCCATGCCATTGACCTGTGTTACTTCCTCCCAGAGAAGAGCCTGGTAGCACTCTTCCTGCTGAGAGCAAATAAAAAACATCCTCTGCAAGCCAAGAAGCACCAGAAGGCAAGTAGGAGCAGAGCCGATGGTGAATCAAGAAGGCACTTCCCCCCAGCACCTGGTGTGCGTGTCTGCATGGGAAGAGTCTTGCATTTTAAAAGATATCACTGAAGCCTGAAGAAAACCAAACTGTGAAAGTAATTGTCTTTCTGAAAGGGAAGTTAGAGTAACTGTTACAGGCATCAGCCACCTGGTGAAGGTTTCACAGTATCACCCAAGTTGAGAATGGAAACCGTTAGAGTGATACTGGTCAAGCCCCGTTCAGACACTCAGCTCTAGCTTACACGCAACTCTGGTTGAGTTAAACACCTTCCCAAGGGTGCAAAATATAAAAGCTTTGCTTATGGTAGACAAGAACATCCACAGAGGCACTGGAGCATCAGTACCGCAACGGCTGCATTCTCACCTTGGGCGATACTGAGAAACCTTCCCCAGGTGGATGAGGTCTGCAACAGGCAGCACAACTTTCTTCTCAGAAAGTCATTTACATTTGCAATTAGTTTATCTTCAAGGCTTCAGTGACCCTGATGTGGGGAGGGACAGGTACACAGCTTTCATCACTGCAGCTCACGTATCCATAGGGAGGCATGGGCTTAAAAACTCTGGCACAGATGCCTGGAAACCTGACAGAACTGGTGCATGTCAAGTTCCCACTTGCTACTTTTCTTCTTTCAGCCTCAGCTAAAAGCATAAACATACATGATACAGAAATGCAGTTTATCAGGCAGAGTTTTGACAAATCGGAAAAAAAGTCCTGAGCTTCCCTAACGCTGAAGTCTTCCATTTCCTGACCCTGAAGTACTCAGCAATCCTGTGCCTAGCCCACTTCTCCACTGCTCACTTTAAGAAGCCACAAGATTGGCAGCTTCACACACCATCTTTGACAATGTTAAGCAGAAATCACTCCAGAGCTTCATGGCACAGAGAACAGATGAAGAATCTTATGCAAGTGATCCCAGAAAAGTCAATTGCCTGTGACAATGCTCCCTGCTCCAAAAACCTGTGTCAGGAGGTTACAGAAGCAGCTAGTAAACTGAGTGACGTGCTTTTTAGGCAGTGAGAATCCACACAATCCTTTCCAAGAGTTACTTTGGAAAGCTGGAAGCTCCAGCAGGGCCAGCAGCCAGAGAGGGGGAGAATAACAGGATTGCCACAGCAAGGAGGTGCCCTCCAGCCTGGAAAGCTGGCTCTTTGCAACACCTGGCTATGGCAAAACAGCCCACAAGAGCCTAATTCAGATTCATCCAACCTCCACCTCTGGAGCACACTGCCCACTAGGAGACATCACAAACTGCAGTACCAGGTCACTGGAGTGTGGTAGATCAGCACCATCCCTCTACCCACTACTGCTTCACTTCAAAGCTGGGCATAAACATAGACCAGTCATTTGTATACCTCTACTTCTCTCCCAACCAAGAGGACAGCAGCCTTGTCAGGACAGCCAGACACTGCTCTGGTAGCTGATATTGTCAGTGTGTTAGCTTCACAGCAGCTCTGTGATGCATGCCATTTCCAAGAGAAAGAAGGGCCCTTGCTCCCACACTGGGCAGAAAGTGATGCAGTTGGCAGCAACACTTGGCACCAGAGTCAGACAAAATATGTTAAGAATCAAGACAATGTGCTGAATTTGCATTTGTGAAGGCTGGCAAAAGTTGTAGGCATTTCACATGTCACAATTGCTCAGTGAAGTTTCTCTGTTAATAACAGCTGTTTCAATGCCCATGAAATAGGCAAGGGCTTTTTCCAGTGGGGCAGTGCCCATTTGCCTATGCTGTGACAAAAAAACTGAAGGAGTAGCTGACAGCAGGACATTTGAAGGTCCAGACCCAGTTGATTCATTAGCTAGTTACCATGGTTTGCGTATAATGTGCTGTAGAAGAATATTTTTGCGACCTCATAGTGTCTCCTCTATTCTGCAGAGGCCAGAAAGGGGCCCTTATTAAGCCTCAGAGTAGAACCAGTCTTCTATAGCTAAGCAGCCTACTGCCTACACACCAGACTATTGGTCTCCCTCTTCTTCACTCTTGTGATCCTCCAGGATAATGTTCCTGTTTCCTCCTCACTGCCCCATCAACCTTTCCAAATGCTAATTCTTTGGGGCTGTCTCATCATTCCCTCTTTATCAGCCTTTCACAGGCTTTCTCACCCTCTTGCTAATTACTGCCTCCCAGTAGCAACAAGGTCTCCAGCACAAAGCCCAACTCAATAAACTCAGTTTCTTAATATCTACTCCATATTATGCCTCAGCTTTACAGAAGCGACACCAGCAGCCCTTGGGTAAAGGCTGCTTGTAGGGTCCTCTGAAAAACAGTTCACTAGCACTAAAATAGCTGTAGTCCTACCAATGTGTCCAGCATAGAAAGTCTTACCACAGGAAAGCAGTTGGCAGCTGTTGGTAATATCAAGACCTTAGAGGTCTGCAGACTTGATCTGACCTGGCATCATGTAAAGGCCCTCATTCTTTCTACAGCAGGGGTGAAGAACAAGCAGCATTTCCTTCTCTCTCCCCTGACACACAGTGTGCTAATACAAAAGCTAAGAGAAGCTGCAGGTATCTTTTCATTGGCTAGGGAGGATGACTGAGTTGCACTCATGTGGCTGCAGATGTCTTAACTATTGGCCAACATAACTTTTGACTTGAGTAGAAAAAACTGTCCCCATTTTAAAACCAGACTAATTAAAAAAAAAAAAAAAAAGTTTCACTGCATAGTTGCCTCTCTGAGTAACAGTCACCATCTCAAGTCAATCTGGAGATTGTCATGAGGCTGACACAGAGAGGAACAGAATAAATGCATAGACCAGCAGGAAGAGAGACTGAGTTATGAGCCACTGAACAGCCTTTCCACATTGTTTGTGTCTGCCAGAAGGGAATTATCCCAAGGAGCTCAGATTCTTAACATGCTCTTTGTACTGCAAGTCCTTCTCTCCTCCAGGATTTATGCCTGTTAGAACAAATGCTTTCCCCTTTCTTTTCCCTGAAGGGTGTGTACTGAGCAGATTACACTAACCAACTTCTAGACACAGTCTGCCTAACAGTGTTTTCTATCTCCACATTCTAAGAGGACATTATGTACTATAGGAAAAAGAAAAAAAAAAAAAAAGACAGAGAAAGAAAAAAAAGAAAAAATCACCACCATCATCAGCTGCAATACAAACCAGCAGAACTTAAGGGCAAGCCAAGAGAGACATTTCTAGAAGACTACAGCACTGAGATGGGAGAAGAGATTTCAACAACTCTAAAGACTATTAGCACTCAGCAGGTACAAAGCCACCATCTCACTCTCCAACGTGGTTATTCATCCACCAGGTCCTTTAGGCTGGCAGGACAGCAGAACTTCCAGAACTATTTAACTTTCCCCCTAAGGAACTTCCACAGCAAGCTGGTAGGAAGCAGGGACAGAACTCCCTGCAGACTAGCTGGCTACAGTATATCCTATTAGGCAGCCAAGCACAGACTGCTTTTCTCCTAACAAGAAAAATACTTTTTCATTTGACAGTTCAGCATAAGGAGCGGATTCTACACGTCACACTGTCCTCAGACCAAGACTGCTGAAGAAAAGCAAGTAGCAAACCCAATGTCAAAGGGCAGATGGCAAAAGGAGACATTCTCTCATCCTTCCTTCCATTTGCTTCCTAGGGACTGCCAAGGAATCCAAAACAGTCTGCACATCTGCATGCTCCACATGACCTTCACCAGGATGCCTGGCAGCCATATCCTTGCCTTGGGAAGTGACTTTCACTCAGTGCTGCGACTTGCACTCAGACACAGCTGTATTTCTTAGGTAAGCACTTAGATTAGTTCATTGCAGGTAACTAATTGACTAGAAAGAAGACAACAGGATAAGGAAATCCCCTGAACAGTAAACAGTTAAAGACTGGGAGAACAGCAATGGGGGCACATTGTCCTCTGTGTCCTTGCCTTGCTTCTTTCTTCCCTAGGCATTCACTTGTAACTACTGCTGGAGATTACTGGGCCATGAGTCCTGGTCTGCGGCAGTACAGCTATCCTGATGCTCCTCTAAAACCAGTTGCTGCCCCAGCAGAACATGGGCAGGGAGAAGATAAGCGTGTCTAGCAGTGATAACTGCACAGAAGAAAGGCCAGACCTTACCATAAGTGACTATAAGCAGCAAAAAGTTGGTGTTGCGGAGCAGCCGGAGGATTGACTGCGTGTAGGAATATTCCTCTGGTGGTCGTGACTGGATCAAGGCCTGAGCTCGGCTTGGAGGGTGCGGGGGCTTCTCCTTGAAGACTGAAACCAGACACAAAGTAGACCTGTTTGTAACAGTGCAACCAGGGAGGCTGAGCACACTGTCTGTAGAGCCATTTGACAGACAGCAGAAGGGCTAGTAAAACCAAGTATACCAAACACACCACTGTCCTTAAGCTTTCATCTTCACACATGAACTTTTCCAGAAACAGGGTCTCTCCAACAATAACTCTTGCCACTGGAGAAACACCTTGCCTTTGATTAGCTTTTTGTGTATGCAGTGTCTGGCAACAACAAAAGAGTTCTCAGGACTGATAATGCCTTTGTCTGCAGGGGGATGGCCACAGTCAGCTGCAGAAATGTTGCATGGAGTCACAAATGCAAAAGTGGGATGGGAAAAGCCAGCTCACAAAGGTGGCCTGGAGCCCTGCAGTGTCTAGTGCCTATGGAGAAATGACCTATGCCAGGCTTTATTTTAGACCTAGCACTTTTTAGGCTGGCTAAGCCACCTGCTGTCCCTGAGTAGTATTAATGTAGCATCCAGGAATCCTGTTCACAGGGGATACTGCTGCACCAGGTGCTAAACAGCCATTTTTGTGAGGCTGGCAAGAGGAGTCTATAAAAAAATAGTAATTACACAGAGTTCAGCAGACAAGCTCTGCTCTCCAGTGAGCATGCCAGTCTTTCATGCTCAAGATCTGGCTTCCACTTCACATGTTAAGCAAGGGAATTGCACCTCTGGTGTCCTGCTACTACCCTTAATGCTTCCTTCTCTCCACTCACAATTGTTTACTGTTTTTTCTCCTCGGAACAGCTTGTTCCTGTGATGCCACATAACCTGCCTCTTTTTCTCTACCATTAAGAGGTAGTCAGGCCCTAGACATAACCCAAGGCCCAGCATTGTGTTTGCAGGCAAGATTAATGTGACCCTTGGAAGATTTCTGCTGGCTTTTGAAAGACTTACTTATGCCAGAGTTTTATTATGCAGGCAATCAAAGGACAAAATGAACAATTTGGCAAGCTCACTCAAAATCTCTTGTAGTCCCTTCTACATGTGCTGTTCATCAAGGGCTTGAAGCAGCAAGATACAGCATTGCATGGCCCCATTAGCTGCGTGCTAGGACACGTCCCCATGCGACCTCCCCAGCCCATTTCCTAGCCAGAGGCCACTCACACGCACAGGGTGATTCTTCTCAGTCCCACCTGGTTTCATGTGCATGCTCCCACCTCCTTACCTATGATGACCAAGATGAATAGTCCTGTTGCCACACCTGCTGTCATGAAGAACATGATGCTGACGTGGTAGGCCAGCTCCTCCACATTGTCCACATTGGGAACCAGAACTGGAGGGACCAGAAAGCCCACAGCAATGCCAAGCTAAGCAGGAGAGAGAACATACACAAAGATGTGATGTGGAACCACAACATTGCCATGACGCCACAGCTCAGCCCTCTGATGCCCAGTAAGAGCTCAACTGAGCCTAATCTCATTTCAAAACAAAGGTGAAAATCTTCTTTATCTTTGGCTTAAGAGATAAAAACCAACTATTCTCATTTCAATTAAGCAGCAAAAGATGTCCCCCCACTGCACTCACAACTGTCAGGATATTCAAAGCAAGGTTTTACAATAGAACTGAGCAGAATTAATACCTGCCTCCATCAAAGTGGAGGTCTTACTTCTTCCATACACATATGTACCTGTCCACACACACATCATACTCCTTATCTTGAATCTGCTCTGGTGCTGGCCTGATCACCTGGTAATCAAATTTTGCTCATTAAAAATGGCAGAAAAAAAGACTGTCAAAACCCACCATAATTATTTGCTGGGTTAATGAGTTGAACCCATTTGTTTTCCAGACAGACAAGCACAAGGGCCAAGACAGAAACCTGCCCACTCCTAATGAGCGTGATATTAATCTGGTTCTGCCACTTTATGAGACTGTTTCCTAACCAGTCCCCTCCCAAGACAAGGATCACCCTCTGACCACTAGGATAACCTAGAAAAACATCAAGGTTGAGAGCAGAGGCAGCACTGACTGCACATATCCTAAACATCAAGGTTTTGTGATGGGGCTTAGCAACTGCCCCTGAATATAATGCTTGGCTCTGAAGGGCTACAAGAAGAAACCCCTGCAGCTCTGGTCTCAACTACATCAAGAGCCTTACATGTCCAGCTGAGGAGCTCCTGCAGCGACAGCACACTCTTTAGTGAAGACACAGTTTTAACTTCATAGCTGTTTCTCCAGGACAGTGACAAGGAGCTGTAGCAGCACAGGCTTTGCCACCCTGGTAAGTGGGACTGACAGTGGCACAGACCTTCAGAGCCACTATTAAATGGGAGAGAAGAATAGGTTTTTTGGAAATGGGAGAGAGAAGAATCAGCTGCTTTAGTGCTTAGGAGCACTGTCTTCTCTTCATAAAGTGGGAGCCAAAGTGCACTCAGCACAGTTGTATGTACTCTGAACACAAGAGGAACCTACAGAAGCCACTTCACCCACCCTAATTAGCAACACCCTAATTTTTGCTATTTCCTGATTTAAGCCTATGTTTGCTGTTGTGGACAGTGACAAGGCACACACTACAGCCTCCAATAGGTGGAAGGACTGAGAAAGCACCAAAAAAAAAGAGATGCCAGGCATCTCATTTGCAGGGTATACGATTTGCCTGGAGACAGAAAAGCAGTAACAGTACCAGAACAGTGCTAATGGAACCAATACAGACTAGCACATAAGAAATCCCACCCACAGAGGTTATTCGTGCTACACCAATACAGCTTTTGTAGAGCCATTGCCCTCATCACTCTAAGAGAGGAGGTAGGAGGATGTAAAACATGGAAATGTGAATATAGTCAAATTAAGCCCACTGCATTGACTGTTTCCTTGTAGGACACAATAGATCAATAGGAATCAATTAGCACTACCATGACCCATTGTTCCAGAATAACAGACTGCAGAGGATACTGTTTATGCCTCACTGAACAGGAGCAAGACAGCACCACTAGCCAACTGCTGTCCTAAAAAAAGGATACTGCAGTGCTCAGAGTCTACATAGCCCCTGAAAAAGGGTCTCTTGTTCTACAGGTAGGGGAAGCAAGGACTAAGAAAAGCAAGGACTATGCTACTCATAAACCACATCCCAGCATGTGAGCATAGAGAGCAGAATGATCCAGGAGCCCTCTAACCCATGAGCTCGGGAGGGAAAGCAAGGACTAAGAAAAGCAAGGACTATGCTACTCATAAACCACATCCCAGCATGTGAGCATAGAGAGCAGAATGATCCAGGAGCCCTCTAACCCATGAGCTCAGCCATGTTGCCTGGGCTGCCTTCTAGCAAAAACTTCTGCTTTCTGCATGCCTTCTGTGTCATATCTCCATGTTTCTGGGATGCCATTGGACTCCTTTTGGAAGATTCACTCACTGGCCAGGATCAAGATTACAGAACAAATATGTTTCAGGTGTCATATCTGGTAGCTTGGATAAAAAAAAAAACAACACGCTTGTGCTCTCCAGTCTCAGAAAATTCTCCACAAACTCCCTCCTCTCCCATCCAGCTGGTGGAATTCTGAGACAGAAAGAATGCTTGTGTTTCAAACAGAGCTATCTGCTAGACTCAGACATCCTATTTAGCTTGCAAACAAGTAACTTATAAGCATGTTTGGCCAAACTTCTCCTGTGACCTCCACTGTTATCCCAGCGCCCTCCACCTGGACCTGGAACAGTCTGGGTCAGGATGAGCAAAAAGCATCTATACCAAGTTCATTTTTGGTTCTGGGACATCACAGGGAGCCAGAAGGAAAAGCCACCAAGAGATTACACAGGTTCAGGGAACTACCAGGAACGAAAACATTCAGGGGTTGATTAAATGGCCTGAAGACAGACACAAGTTGTGCTGTCCCAGATAACAAGTCAAGGACTGAGAGAGATTAGGAGAAAATTTAGAAGACCATTAGAAGGCTTAAAATTTCATAACACCCACATGGCACATGGAGTCTCTCACACAGGACTGAACTTGCCAGAGCTCAACTTTGTTGAGACATGGCCTATCCCAGCCTCTCGCCAGTGAGTAGGTCTGTTCTCCTTCTCTGTGCTGCCTGCTGACCCCTGAGACTCACTGACTACCAGTGAGCACACCTGTCAGCTGGCTTAGAAGTGTCCAGCTTTGATCTTCATTAAATTACACACCCTCCCTCTTTCTCTGCACAAGGGAAACAAGCCTGCAGCTGCAAAGAAAAGGCAACTGCACCAAAAACAGATGCTAACAGGCATAGCTCTAGAGGGCAGAAGCCTGTTTGCCTCTGCAGCATGTTTATTTTGCCCTGCTTGTGGCCAAAGTGTGGGCCTGTGGCTCTGCTGTGCCAACTCAGCCCAGTGCACAGCCACAGTGGGCTTCACTCCTGTTTCCTTAGCATTCCCAAAGGTTCAAGCTTCCAGGAAAAGACCCTCAACACTGCTCCTTTCTATTCAAGGGAAGAGTCATACTAGCTCTTACATATCACATGTGCCCTTCCACCCTTTACCAAATAAGTCCTGGAAGTTGCTCCTTCATCTTGTTACCATTTCATTCTTGGAATAATGGGGCTGGATTCCTGTGCTAGGTGCTTCTTGGCTTCCTGCTCTCTGCAATCATATGCTAATCCCACGAGCTGCTGAACCACAGCATAACAACAAAAGGAAAGGAAGAGAGATCCATGCTTTATTCTGACCTCTGGTCTAAGTTTCTGCAGAACCACAGTCAAGATTCACTCTTTTCAGGCCTCCCTCTAGCTTCTCCTTCCTGAAAAAGGATATATATGATGTATACCTAGCAGAGGTTATTGAGAATCAGTTTGGAAAACAGTTTAGGAATTCTTAACTGGGAAGTCCTATAGACACCACTTACCCGATGGGACACAGACCTATTCAGCTTTCTTGGACACTGCTGTTGTATTTTCAGAAAATCTGAACAATATATTTCAGAAAATCTGAACAATTTTCCTAACCAGAAATGGATGTTTTTTCCTCCACCTTCTCTTCCCAGAAAAGGAACCACTTTAATACATTAGGAGAGTTTTTAAATCTTTGAGGACTAGTAGGCAGAAGGGGAAAATAAAAAAGAAAAACGAAAAGGCAAAACAAAACAAAACAAATAAAATAAATTAATAAAAAAACACCAAACCAGCAATTATAGCAATATGAGCTACATTTTATATTTCAGAGCAACATCCATGAAGGTGAGGCCCCTCAACTTAACTAAAACTCAAGATTTCTTGGAGGATACTCATAGATCCCAGATTATTCATACCATTTTTAGCAACAAAGACTAGCTCTCAACAACATTATGAGTATTATACAGCATATACTTTACGACCCACAAGGAGATTTTTGGCCTGGTTCTCAGCAGGACAGTGCCCACATCACGATCAGCCCAACAGACCACACTGTAACCAGTTAACCAGAAACTTTCAAGATACCTTAGGAAGGGAAAAATAACTTTTCTCCTTTCTCCACACCTGCCACATCTGGGCTGGGAAAATAAAGCAATGTAAAAACAAGGTTGGTTCTGCAACACTCTGTGCTACCCTCCTTACAGAGACCATCAGTCATTAGGGTTCATAGTGCAGTCCCCTCCACCAGCATAGAAATTAGTACCTCCAACCTTTGTACAGGCAGAAAGGTCTCCAAGACCTATACAGGTAGGCTGTAGTTCCCAAAATTCAGCATATCATTCAACATCCCCACACCCAAAATACAAACACTGTCCTGATCTCCAAAAATCTCTCCTGAGGAACCAGGCTGCTGGCACTTTATTTTAAGAAGGCTTTGGGGTAACTTTTAAACAGAATATCAGGAAAGTCAAGAACTACAGCAGAGTGCACTGTTCAGATGACTGCTTCTCTAAAGGCTAATAAAGGACAGAAGGAACGTATTTCCCACCTGAATTTTGTCAAGGACCAGTCCTAACAGCAACATAATATTCAAGTGTATACAACAACAGGCAACAAAACCATGAGCAACGGGCTAATAAAATGGTATAAATGTGCACAAAATCTTGAAATGGAAAATAACAATGCCTAATTTCAGTTTAGCTGTTGTATATTAAGAGTCTGCTGAAGGAAGATAATCACTATGGTATCAGCATAAAAACTGTAAATGAGTGATTGATAGAAGTGTGGGCCTCCACCTGAAAGAAAACTAAGAGTCAGCAACAGGAATACATAAGCCCTATAGAATTCCATAAGTAAGCACAAATATTGACAGAGGAGACCAGCAAACGTAGAAGGTCAACTAAAGTGTTAACAGATAGAAAGAGAGAGATGCTACAAAGGCAGAAAAAATACAACAGTGAGAAATTTGGCCAATGCCCTTGCAGGCTAAATAAGCATCATGACAGGGATGA